CTCCCTGCCCCCATATTTTCCCGGTTTCCCACCCCCTTTCTTATCCCATTATCATTGAAATGACATTTACTTGAACCAAGTAATGATCTAATTGCAATCATAGTTTAAAGAACCTTTTAATTATGTAATCAGTGTAATGCCTTGAACTTGACAATGAACGCCTCAACATGAACCCTGCTGTCCTGAAAGCCTCGGTGATATCACCTACAGCCTCATCCAGGATGTCTACCATGCCAGCATAAGTTCTTCTGCGATCATTCTTAAAAAATTGCTCTTTATCAATGTATTGTTGAGGCGTTGAACAGGATCATGAACGCCATGCATGAGAACAAAGGCTGAGAGGGGTCGTGTGATTTAACAGTTGTCTCCATCCTCTGTAAAGAAAGTGAATAGTAGTAACGACATTTAGTGATCATAAATGATAAAAGCCCGGGCATAGGGTGCAGCTTTCCTCTACCTTTAAGTTTCGCTTATAAGAACTCCCACTTATAAGGCCCCCTTCAAAAGTAAATGGAATCTTTACATCTGACGACGAACGTGTCGCTGCCGTGAAGAGTATTCTGAGAGCTAATCTTCAAGAACACAACCTTAAACATTGATTATTCACATTTACGAAAAACATTGTTTTCCTATACGGAATGCACTGAACCTGCCCGTTACCTCCACGAGAAAACTTTGCATTCTTTTAGTCAGCGCATACTCTGCACAGCTAAATCTTTCGGCCATCTGCGCAGAATCTTTGAAGGCCTAATGATTCCATAATTGAAGTCTAGCTTGATCAGGCAAATTAACTCCTACGTTGCGAAACTTTTCACATCGGGAATTACCCGAGGATATGAAATATGCAATTAGTGGACGGTATTTTCTTACCCTGATGATGACATTTAGTGTTGAAAACGTTCGGATTGTTTTTTTTTAAAGATATATGTTTTAGCCTTGTAAAGTTCACTTTTAAACCTAAGCGAATTTTATGGACAAAGTAATGTTCCTGTAATATTTGTGGCATTCACGGTTTTATTTGTGAGTTTTAAAATAAAACCTTGATACTCGCCCAGATTGGTAGATTGGTATTTTACTTCACATTAGGGTTCGAGAGAGGCCCCTTCCCCTACGCTTTCAACTATTAGAGTCCATGGGAGGCAAAGGGAAAGTCATTTTGGGGGAATTGTATGCTTTTCTACTTAAAGGAGCTGTGTCACGAAATTCAGCCAAATTAGGAAATTACAAAATGCTTTTTAAATTAAGAGAAACATGCAAAAACCGCTTAAAACTTTAAAGGAAGGTTTGAATAACAGAACGGAAACAACAGATGCCACGGATGGGCAAAACTGAAGAAGATTGAAACGGATTGAAATTAGGGTTTTTGAAAACTGTTCAGCCCAACAGTTTTTCAAAGTTGATCCCTGCTGCTTGCAATTTCAAAAATAATGCTCAGGAGACATATTTGTTTGTCTCGGATCTCTGATTTTGTCATTTACATGTAATGTCTTTCCTTACTTTAAGTTTCATAGCGATTGAGGGCGAGTAATTGGAAAAATTAAACAAAATGAACTGGACTGCCGTGACACAGTCCCTTTAATGACGGCTCATTTAGCTTCTTAGTGTATTATTTCTCAGCCCGCCGCCGCCGAGAGGCTTAGGCCGGGAATTCACAGCAGGCATTTGCCCAAGGCGTTAAAATCCCGCGGCCATTTGCCTTCCTTGCGGTTAGGCATATGGGAATCTGCGGTAAGATAGTTGATTACATATCCGGTCACAAGCAATTTGATGTTGCGTCTGCTATCTCCAATATTAAAAAAATTCTCTCTAAAAATATTTCTCCGTTTGGAACAGTTCCTACAGAATCAGAGAACATTTGGATCTGTTGACGGTGACTTTATAAAGAGCAACAGAACAAAGAACACTAGCAAGATGCTGCGTTGCTTATTGGGGTTAATTTATTACAGCAATACCATATTCGGAAATATTAGCGGGAAAAATAAAGTAATCTCGCTCTACCGCGCGCTCAAATGCAATGGCGCTCAAGACGAATTTTTCAGTCTCGTTTAATTTTCGCTTGTGCACATGCTGGATATCTTGTGTTCTTCACTGAAACAGGTAAATAATTGCTTTCACGCCCGGCAGGTGAGTAATTACAAATCTGTACATAAAGAAAACGTTTTAGCTCGTGCGAGCGGACTGTTATGTCAAAGACTTGGCTTTATAAGGATGCTAATCGAACTTGATCTTAATGTTCGCTGAATCTCATAGGAGTGGTTATGAGGACCAGCTCAGTCGCTAATGAAACTGTTAAACATTATGGCGTTACTATCAATAAAGCCGACGGGCTTCGAACAGGACAATCATTTTACTCGTAGAAATGTTAAGCTTTGTGTGTTATAAACCCGATACATGTAAATATAAGCCGGCCTACAAATTTCTGGATCTTTCCTCAGGAAATATCTGTAAACCTGAGCATTAGATATATAGGCATGCTGAGTGATTTTTCAAGCGAAGAATTAATCCTTATTTGCCTGCGTTTAACAAAATACACTGGAGCATTAATTTGCCTCTGTCTTACAAATACACTGGGGCATTAATTTGCCTGTGTCTAATAAATACACTAGGGCATTAATTTGCCTGTGTCTTACAAATACACTGGGGCATTAATTTGCCTGTGTCTAATAAATACACTGGGGCATTAATTTGCCTGTGTCTAACAAAATACACTGGAGCATTAATTTGCCTGCGTTTAACAAAATACACTGGGGCCTTAATTTGCCTGTGTTTAGCAAATACACTGGGGCATTAATTTGCCTGTGTCTTACAAACACACTGGGGCATTAATTTGCCTGTGTTTAACAAATACACTGGGGTATTAATTTGCCTGTGTCTAACAACAACACTGGGCTGACTGGGGCATTAATTTGCCTGTGTTTAACAAATACACTGGGGCAATAATTTGCCTGTGTCTTACAGATACACTGGGGCATTAATTTGCCTGTGTCTAACAACAACACTGGCGCATTTATTTTCCTGTGTCTAACGAATAAACGTTTCAAGTATTTACTTCACTCTGACAAATTTATTCATGTGATTACCAATACAATGGCAACTAAGATAAAGGCGTTTTAGAACTGAAAAGTCCGATGATGTATATTTTTTAACCAAGCCGGCACGAAACCGCTAGTCTCCAAAAATATAACAGCAAAGAAAGAGTAGCCCCGTCCTATTGTTTTGTTGTATTACATATCAGGCATTCAAGAAAACTCGTGTAACTTAATGAGGAAAATTTGCCGCTAAAACGTGTCAGGATTAATCCGGCTTATAACACCTTCATAAGGCTTGTCTTCTTTTTTCGTGTGGTTCCTCTTTCAGCTCCTACTATGATTTAGGTAAAAAAATTTTACCTAAGCAACGGGGACTCAAATTCCTGAACCGGCCTAAGCCTGTCATAGAAATGCTAGTTCCATTCGGCCCCTGTTTACTCTGGTACATCATTGTGTTTACACTAGCCGCCCTCTTATTACAGATATGTCATTTTACTGCAAGACTCTTACGTTAAGTTTTTTTCTTGGAAATAAAGGGCTGTCCTGGGATAACTCCATTTTAATTGAGGAGAGGAAAACTATGAATTCTAGCATTCTAGTGATTTATGTTAATCTAAGGGATCGAGTAAACTCAGATAGCGGTATCATGAAAATGGCGCGATATGCAGAGACCAGCATACAGTCACTTTGCCTCTCTTGTTAGTAATTGAATCACCATGACAACAGGGGTTGATCTTTAAGGAAACACGCCATCTGTTCTGTTGATGGGAAGCTGACCATTCATATTGGAGAAATAGTGTGACGTGATACCCTTAAAGAACAAAGCAACACTGCACTTGTGGAAACAGCTGGTTTCACTTCTGCTTTTAGTGTGGGTGCAGCTACGTGCGCTGAACACAAAATCAAGACTGCCAAGGTACATTTACTTAATCTTAACCAAGGAGGGACTTAGTTTTAGTCAATGGCTTCCTAGTTTAACATCAGAAAACTATAGCTTACTGGGTAGTCATTCGCTCAAGAAAGTTCAGGGGAAGAGCAAAAATAATTTAGATAACTGAGCTTCTGTGTGAGTACCCACGGAAGTGGGTTCGTCGCGCGTTTTCCAGCAAATCGTTCGTTTTTCTGGCAAAATGATCGCATATCAAGAATTGCAAGCTTTGCGTGATATAACGCTATTAGCGAGCTCAGTGCAACCACAGCGACGAGGGAAGCGAGAAAATAAGCGAAAAAATAAACCTCTGAACGAGCAGCGCACGAATCGTTGCCGTCATTGCACAACAAATGTTGTCATACTTAATTGAAATGGCAATGCGATCGTCGCTTTAATCTCTAAGATGGTCGTTTCATCAATAGTCATCGTCGCGACTTCGATGTCGTCAGAAATACCCATACAAAGGCTCAAATCTACACTTTTCTAGAGATTTTTACTTTCAGTCTGTGCGTGTTACTGCATTGCAAATACTTGCTATTGTATGTAACAAAGATTACTTGGATGTGGTAATAACAATCAAAGTAGCGAATTTTAGTGATCAAAGTTTTTTCTCCAGATTACGTGCACTGTTTTTGCTCACTAAAAACTGAAATTTGAATGCGTGTTCAAATAATGTAAGTACTTAAGCTGATTTAAAATTCTTTTTAACACTCTCCGGGTTTCTTATTACGCATGTGAACTAACTTTTTTGAAGAATACGTTACCTAGGGTTAAAAGTTAATCTTATTATTTCAACTGAGTCTCAACTTTGCTCAAGCTGAGTAAAAATTTTCGGACCACAAAACTTCTGGGTGATTGCGATGAACATTAAGCAACAACGACTAATTTCTCACCCCACTTCAACAAAAAAACGTTTGGGGAGGTGGGGTGGAGGGCGTATTGCCTAAAAGTACCAGGCTAAAGAGTATCATCCTCTATTCCACAGGCAGCTGAGGAGCTTTTGACAGATCTGGTCACCCGAGCTGGTCGAGCTGATCATCATGCTAAGTTTATTAATGTTACTGCTGGCCATAATGACTGCTGTTACGGCAACCGGCGACAACAAACAGTCCGCACAAACCACGGTAAGCTCGTATAGAAAACCTTATGTGAATTTGTTAGGTAAGATTCAGGGACGGAGCGTGAGATTTTGTAGGTGTACGCACGCGGGAGAGAAAATATTCAGCGTCGAAGCCGGCCCAACATAGGCAGGTCTGGGGGCATGCTCCCTCCTCAAAATTTTTAAAATTTATTGTCTCGGAAATGCTATTTCTAGTGTTTTCCGCATGAGATTTTCAGTAAATTAATACGCAGGAAAATGCAGTAGTTAGTTGTTTATTTTACCCATCTCTAGTGTTGTTGGTAAGGTACAATGTTTACGGGAATAAAAGTCGTGACGTCATCAGAATTATGGGATAATAAAGTGATAAAGGAAATACTAACACAAAGATACCAATATAGTGCGAAAAATGTATCAGTCATCCCGATTTAATGATAAAAAACGCTTTTTCAGGAAAAAAATATATTTATTCTATGTTTTAGCTGTTCATATACGCACCGGCGTATGTGAGTATACGGACGCAGGCCGCTACGCCCCTGACATTTGACAATAGTGAGCTTTTAAGCAAGACGACGGTGACGTCATCGATAACGGCGAAAAAGCAATAGGTTTAGATTGGCATAACAACAACTTTGCACGTGCATCACGCTTTTTTGCACATTTCTTTGTCGTTACTGCACGACTACGACGAGAAAATGCCTAATTTCACTTTTTGCGGAGGACGTGAACACACTTTCTTTTCCTGACCTTTGATACAGCGTTTTAGCATTTAACTCCAGAAATAGTTGCCAAAATTTGACGAATAGCCTACTTCGGAAAAGAGTGATAGCCTGGGACCCAAACTAAGCGCGCGCGTATTTATGAGATTGTTTGGGGGGACAAAGTGAGCAGCCACCTTGTGTTATGACGAGGCATGCAAGTTAATGTGTGCCTTTGTGCACATTCAGATTTGAAAGCTTAAAAAGCATTTCAGTTTTAATTCTTTATGTCGACAAGTTGATGATTGGAAGCTCTAAAAATAGCAGAGAAAATTATCCGAGAAAATGCTTTTGAAGATAAGAGAAATGAACACGGGTTAAATTTAACCCCGGGTTAAGCGCTAATCGGCCTTCGAACAACTGGGCCCTGTAGAATACCAATGACAAAACGTATCCAGCGAGAATATGTACGTTTGTTTCGGAACGCTAATTAGAGGGTTAAACTCCAATAGCACACGGATTTGTATTCTTTTAGTTTTTCTCGAAGTAAAATCTCTCAGGCACATCTTCCTTCAGCTTCACAATTTCATGTTTTTTGTTTCTTTCAATCCCACCTTCCTTTTGCTATTTTGAGCTGTTTTAACTCCGCTTAAGAATTCCACTCTGTTTTCCGCCATGTTTGTTTACATTCACGTTCCCCCGAAATAATCCCATAAATGCGCGCGCGCCTAGTTCGGGTCCCAGGCTATCAATCTTCTCCGAAGCGAGCTATTGGACGAGATGGAATAAGCGCGACAAAGTTTAAAGTATCATCACTTCACTTTTTAAGTGACGTTTTCGTATCCGTCGCCGCCGTTGTAGCTTAAGCTCCTTAATAAAGCTGTGATGGTGGAGAGGGGAAGGTATCACCTATCTATGAACCAGGCAGGAAAAGCCAAAACATGAAAATGAAAAAATGCTACCTTTGCTGAATATGAGACCTTAGAAAATTCAAAGTTTCAGCAAAAAATTAGCTCGTTGGACAAGCATTTTTTTGAGATAAGGTAAGCTCGAACTGTTTCTACTAAAAGTACTCATACCGGCCTTTCTGCTTTTCAGCTTTTTGCAAACCAATCCTGGATACAATCAGGATCAATCAGTCGAAGGATGACATATATTTTAAATAAATTTTGATATTTTCCTGTTTGAAACCAGCAATGTCCATCGCTTTGTTATGGCAGTCCTGGCGCGCCCGGCAGGGATGGTGCTCCAGGGGCACCAGGCAACGACGGACGTGACGGAAGTGATGGCAGTCCTGGCGCGCCCGGCAGGGATGGTGCTCCAGGGGCACCAGGCAACGACGGACGTGACGGAAGTGATGGCAGTCCTGGCACGCCCGGCAGGGATGGTGCTCCAGGGGGACCAGGCTACGACGGACGTGACGGAAGTGATGGCCATGATGGGGCCAAAGGTGATAAAGGTGACCTAGGATTGCAGGGAAAGACTGGACCTCAGGGACCTCCTGGTGGTAAGGGACCTGCTGGTGTAAAGGGAGAGGAAGGGGATAAAGGAGAAACTGGAGCCCAGGGTCCTCCCGGTCAAAATTGGGAACTTAGCCCGATGCCGTTTAAGAACTGGAAAGAATGTGCCTGGAACAACTTGGATGATCAGAAGGACAGTGGTCTGATCAAGGTGAGTCGTGCATTTGCGATTGATCAGCATACAATTATCAAATTCACACACAATATAGAGCATGCAGCAGCCATTGTCCGAAAGGGATTTTGCTTGCCCAGTGCAGATAACAACAAACAGCTATTAGCTTCTGGCATGCCTCTCCTGTAAAACGACATCCTTTATACAGCGGCCTAGTTACACAGGTAGGCTTGTATAAATTCTGTCGGCAGATAATCTGTTCATGTTGTCCTTCAGCAGCATAATTAAAAATATATAAAACTGTTCTACTGATGGAGTGTCTCTAGACAAAGGACCTCTAAAAGCGCTTAAGAATGGTCTCTAAAATAAAATACTAAAATAGAAGGTCTGCGAATTCAGTACATTCTTCTCGGGAATTGAGTGTAGGCTTGCCCTTTCTAATGTAAAATGCTTCATAGAGGTGTAGATTAGCGGGGTCGTTTTCACCTATAATAACCTTGACATCAATGCCTTTATAGTCTTTGTTCTGGCAGGAATAGATATGTATTATATTCTGTTGGCAGAATTTCGAGCGCATAAGGTACACTGAAGGTACTCTTTCCAGCATTGTCAATGGTTAGTCATTATCAAAACTTGAAAAAAATGTGAAAATAAAAATAGTATTTGCAAAGTAATTAGGCGACAAATAGCCTGTGTGGCAGATGTTTGAAAGGGAGGGGGAGCGAGACTCCGGGCGCGTGATAAGCGCTAAAGTCAGTCCCTCGCGCCCGATCTAGCGCCCAAATTCCCTTCCCCTTCCCTTACAAACGCCTGTCACCCAGGCTGTGCAATAAGATACAATTTCACTATGCCTCAATGAGAGCTATGTCCTTTTTTCCTGACATTTTTGCAAAATTCAAAATGCCCGAAGGCCTGACATTTTTTCTCCGGTATCCGGCACAATTTAGGTACTTACTTATGTGGGGCGTAAGACTGCAATGATGTAACGCTGTCCGGGCCTAATTGCTTGCCTCCACCAAGGCCTTAAGGTCCTTCTTCAGGTCGTATTTCGGTCTGCTTGGTTATCTTTCTCCAGTTTATGGTGCGCCCTCCTTGGGGGTTCAACGTAGGGTTAACAACTCCTCGCCGTAAATTAAAATAAGATGCAGTTACTAAAATTACGGCGACAATCAGAATTTAGGTGACTGACAGGATTAGGAAACTGAAGCAATTTTTACGAGCACTAGCGACAGGCAGAATAAACTATTTAACGTTCAAGCAGATCTTATTCTTAGCCTAGCCAAAATTGTCAGTAAATCACTTCGGAAACTTTACGTGGCCGCTTGTCCATTGTACGAAGAGATCTACTTAGTTGTTCTATCGTATATAGCTGTTCAACAACTGGTGCCGTTTGGCTTTGCGAACAAAGAGGTACTTAAGCTTACACGTTAAAAGCCAGTGTCTGACCAAGGAGCAGTTAGTCTGTTTGTGAGCAGTTAATTGTTCTATTTTTCATACAGTAGCGTCGAAAGGAAAAGTGTCCTTTTTATGCAAATAGCCTCACTTACAGGCGTTCAGATAGTGGAGTGCGAGAGAGATAAGAAAGCGGGACAAATATGTAGGAAGAGAGGGAGAGGGAGAGAGGTTCCTTCTCTCTCTCTCTCCCCCTACCCCACCCCCTCGCTGTTTTTCGTGCTCACTTCTCTCGCGCCGTTCCCAAAATCTGAACACCTGGAACAGGTCATGTTGCAAATAACTCTAGGACTGTGATATTAACAAATTCAAGCGACTGGGTGAGGCCAAGTTTTTTTTTTTGCAAACTTCAATTTGCCGAAAACCTACGCTTGTAAAGTTTCAAGAATGTCACGATTTTCTTCAGTGTTTCGGGTAAAACTCAGAAGCTTTGACATAACAGAAGCGTGCTTGTGAGTGTGATTACTGAACAGCTCTTGCTTTGATTCTACAAAAAATGCAAGTTTAACGTGTAACGGTTTCTCTGGCCTGTATCTCATGGTAAGACTCTCAGCCTAGTCTCTGCTACTGACAAGGACGTTTCATCTCTCAGTTGACTCTGAAGACTTATGCGCCGATCAATTCGAAACTTTAACATCCCCAAATCAACCCCCTGGGCAGTTGAACTTTTTAAGACAAGCCTGGTTAAATTCTCCTTCTCTCCTCAGCAGAGGCTCCCGCTAGATATCCCATTGTCCCCCGCGCTCCCCTCTCCCCAGCTTCCCTACGGTACAAAGAGGCCTTTGCGGAGGAAAGAGAAATTCTCCTTATACATTACGGCCAAGAGACTATAAAGGGGACAGAGAGGGCATCCCCCATATACACCCTATTCCATAGGTAATTCGTCTCGAGTTATTTTTAGAATCGGGATAA